ATCTGGTTGTCTCTTTTTGTTGGACTTTCCCAGTACTGCTTCGCTAGTTTTATAAATGGCATCCCTTAATCGTGTCCAGCCTTGTTTAGCTTCCAAGATTGAGATTGAAGTTATCGGTGGAAGTGATTCTTTGATGGCTTCCCGGAGGGCGACGGCGGTATTTTTTGTCTCTAGACCGCGTACGTTCAATCTGGTCATATTGTTTTGCTTTTTACAGTGTCGATGTTTGGGTTTTAACTGGATTTTCATTTTTGAAATTGAATCTATTCTGGCTTTTGTGAGTCTGACATCTTTTAGATGCGTTTTTCGAACGATTACGTGGTCCAATTGATGCCAGTGACCTGATCTGGGATATTTCAAGGTACCTTTAAACTTGTCCTTCAACATGAACCACGTATTGGTGATGCATAGATTATACTCTGTGCATGTTGTTAATAAGCGTTCGCCATTGCTATTTACGTTTCCCATTCCATGTTTTCCCAATACGTCAGGCCATATTTCGTGTTGTCTACCGACACGAGCATTAAAGTCACCTAGCAAAATGATTCGTTCGTGCTTTGGAATTCGTTGGAGAGCATTTTGTAGGGCTTGGTAAAATTTATTCTTATCCTCGATTTTAGTGTCTAGGATGGGAGCGTATGCACTAATGATGTTGACGTAAGATTTGTCTGATATGGGGTACCTTAGGGTCATAAGACGTTCGGAGACACCAATAGGGACTTATGTTAATTTTGTGGCGGTTTCGTTTTTGATTGCAATGCCTACGCCATGAATTCTCCTGTGTGTTGCGGGGTGACCTTTCCAAAAGAAGGTGTAATGCTCTCCAGTGAGATACCCTCATCCGCGAAGCGGGTTTCGCTAAGAGCGGCAACATCTATATTTAGTCGGTGGAGTTGAGAGACCTGAGAGACCAGTGCTGTTCTTCTCTCTGATCGATTTGAATTTATCTTGTCCAGTAGAGTGCGGACATTCCACGCCGCAAACGTGAAACATTGATGTTTTTTGTTTCTCCGATAATACGCTCGAATAGGCACCCCCTCCCGGAGATCCGATTGAGGGGGTATTTTACCTCCGGATGATGATTTTGTCCCACTCCAATGTTCCATCATTGATGTGTGTTAGCTGCGTGAAAAGGTTTAACTGTAACTGTTACGCTGCCGCACAGTTTTGGCTGCAATCATGCAATATATTTATTATGCCATGTACCATCATGGTACCTACATAAAATATATTTTTTCCGAGATTTTTTCCATATCTTCAGATATAGTGCTTTCTTTATAGTATGCCTTATAAGTATAACATACCCAGGGTGGTTCAACAAAGTTGAAGAGGTAAGATTTTTACCAACTGTATAACAGACAACTTAAACAAAAATAAGGAAATAGAAGAACCTGGGTTGTGTTATTATATGTTTTTTATTCGGACTTACTTCCGATGCGCTCTACTAAGCAAAATTATGGAAATTTGGGAGAATAGGTTATGCAAACCAACCGCTAAATTTGTAAATAGCCCTACTTATTTTATTAAATAAAATGAAGAGTCCCGTATTTTGCCTGGAATTCGCAAGGGGAAAGAGCATGACAGAGAAAACTTTGGTTACTATTCCCAAAAATTCAACTATGCTATTCTGAACTTATAAAAAGTAATAATAATAATAGGAATGCTGTCCTTATACTAAGGTTTGTAGATTTAATGCATTCAAAACAGACCACATTTATTACATTCAAAATTGAAGAGGTTTCTGTTAGTAAGTAGGTTCCCACCCGCAGGTACTGTGGATGCTAGGCTCGGAGCTAAAGTTGACGTGTTTGTTCACTTGTTTGCTAATATATTCGCCCAGTCACAGTTGGAAAATATTAGAACACTCATCAAGGCTCTTATTGTCTCACTAAGTCATACGGAACAAAAACATCGGTACGAATGGGTATAGTTCGACCGGCGGATCTAAAGCTGCGGGGCATCGGCAAGGGGCACACAGTTGTAAAAACATAAAACAAGCCCGATTTCGTTTATAAAATATTAAGAGGCGTACGGTGTTTTATGAAATGATTGTGTATCATGAATATAAATAATATTAAGATTAATTTTTTTTCCAAAAAACTTTATTATATGGATTTATTTTAAATGGATTCACATTTTGATTAGTGATTTGCCAAATATAGTTAGATTTGTTAGAAAACGTGTAATAATTAAAATATTTGCACAAATAAAATTAAATTTCACGTTCATTTGAATCTCTAAGTTAGCTATTAAAAATTAAATAGTTACAATTACCGATATAATAATATTATTAATTACTAATATTATTTTATGATTAAGCTTTATTCGGAATCTCGCAATTAGTGGAATAAATTATTAGTGATTTAATTAGTGTAGAAGTTTGTTCCTTTAATTTCAGTGTAAGCATTCAGAACGTCAAAATTGGTGGTTGACATTTTCAATTAGTAGAAAAACTTTTAAGTTTTCTACTAATCATACTTCAAAATTTGCAAATTTCATTTTGGCCTTTGATTATCTTCCGCCAAGAGAAATTGTGGTTAGAAATAAAAAGTTGATTTTTTTATAAGCTAAATATTAATCTTTTTCTATGGACACAACTGAATAACGCAAGTCTTGATAGGATATTCTATTAATTTTATTTGTGTTTTTAAAACATTGTGAATGATCGTAAACTAAAAAGTGTAAAGTTTAATTGAAACCACTAATTTATTCCACTAATTTCGAGGTTCTGAATGAAGTTTTAATATAAATTGAAAAGTATATCGTTGGTTGGTTATGAATGAGACCGCTTATCGACCGAGTCTAATTAGCAGAATTGTCGTCTTTGTTCAAAAAATATTTTTTTGTTAATATATCAAATTTGTTCATTTGAAAACACAAATATTAACTTAATATTAAGAATTAAGAACTCCGAACGAAAAACAGTATAACAAAATAATAAAACACAACTTAACAATTAAATATACGAATAAAAAAAAATTGGATAACGGGTATAAAATACAAAAAAAGACACCGCCACTAAATATTTCAATAGTAATCAATAGTAATCATACTCTTTTCAGAAGAGATCGAAAAATTGGTAGTAAAGCCAATAGGACGGAATGAAACTCCACCAATCTTTATTCCAATTATTTGTCCCAATAACCAAAACTTGCCCACCAAAAAAACATTAATGCGTCTTGAACGAAAGCTATCACCTAAAACCTATCATATCTGTACCTTGTCTGATCTCCCTCTCCCAAGTTTGCAAATAATATTTTCAAAATCAATAATTATTTATGAATGTTTTGGATTTAAAGAAATATGATTATTTTTAAATAGACGAGTCATCTCAATCTTAACATGTTAATGTTAACTTCTAAACCGAACAAAAAGTTCACTAACTATACATATCTTCTTAATTATATCAATTTATCATTCTAAAAATGTATATTTTAATTGTTTTCAATTAATAAAATCGCTAATTGAAAGTGTAAAGATACACCTTGGCGAAGAAAAATCGATTAAGAGTGAAATGCAATCCAGCAGGCAAGTGCATTTTTCATTACTACTCATAGCAATATCATAATAAACTTGTTTCAGAAAATCAATCTCCACCAACGCGGGCAACGCGCATGAAATATCATACGCTATATCAGATTTCTGGAAAAAAGGCTCTTTCCGAGCTTAAAAACTTTCCAATTATGATGGAGTAAGTTCTGAATTTCATAATGCCTTACACGATATTAGAATACTAATTAGCTGTAGAGCTAAATATTTTGGAAAACTTTCTCGAAGAATGAACAGAATCTTGAAAGCTAGCTATACAATAGATGGGAAAACTTATTTTGATGGCAAACAATAGTCAACTTGGCAAAAAGTCATTGTCAAAAAAAATTAGACAAGCTTTCTTTTCGATAGAACGTCGATAATAAAATTCTCAATTATTACCTTATGGATTATGTTATCGTCTATTATAATGGGATATCCTTATTATTAATCTATTTTAATAAGTATATATTATTTTTTGACATATATAAAGAACATTTCATGTAGCGATTTTTGTGTATTCATATAGGTACTTATTAGATTTTTATACATTTGAAATTTGCTAGTAATTAGACAACGAGGGGATAGTAGTTAGAATAAGCGGTTTTCAAGTTGGCGGAATGTCTGTTCTACCGATTATACTTAGCTGTTATAAAACCTTTATATTTGTTACGACGGTTGTTGGTTTATCAGTTTCTTATTTCAAGCCCACCGAAGAAGTACCACGGAATGAAGGTAGTTTTTAAGGTTAATTGAGATATGTTTAACAGAACTAAAAAAAAGATGAAAAATAAAAAATAAATACAACAATAAAAACTCAAGTAAGTGGTGAAGTATGAATTCCGTTTTTCTTCTTCACCCTAGTGTAGAAAATTTTCCCATTATTAAGGGGCCGTTCTGTGCCGGCAACAATATTCCCCACTCTCCTATCCCTGTATCCTGCACTAACTTGCGCAGATCCTTGATAGAATGGGAGCATAAATCTCTCGGTTCTAGCTTTGCTGTCTCAAATAGAAAGTGTCGCTTGCGATTCAAAACCTTGCAATAGCATATTATGTTGTTATCCGCCGTTTTAGGATCTCCATCGCGAGTCGGCAGCAAAAAATTCCTTAATACGGGTTGAGCCTGTTCAGGTAACACTTGAGAGACATATGTCATGATATATGATCCAGAGACCGGTTGTATTCCGCACTTTATTTCTGCTTGGCATTAGCAGTCCCTTTGTAGTTTTAGAATTAGGTTCTTGGATGAAGATCTTGCCTGCGCTCCTGTCTGTTTCTCCAGTGGACATTCTGCTTTTCCCTTATCAATAATTTTGACATATAGAGTTTGACATATCTTAATTTCAAGCAAACGAATATATGGTTACAATTTAACAAAACATAGAGAAGGGACGATACTTACATTGATTGTAGAAATATTAATTTAATATTTTATTTAAATTTCTATATTTGATATTTATTTTATTTTAGCTGGATGTGAAAATGCCTGTTCCGGACATGGTCAATGTACACTGGAGGAAGGTTATTATAAATGCGTTTGCATTGAAGGTTGGGCCGGTTTCGACTGCAGCATAGCCCTAGAAGCAGAATGCCAAGATGACATAGATAATGATCACGGTAATATACTTTCACTTTACAAGAAAGACACGCACAACATCCATATATAAGTATACGTACATGAATGCTGTGAGCATCTACTTGTATGCTGCATCTATCGTATCAACTGTAGTATCCAAATGGAGTTGGAAGGCTTTGTAACATCTAAATAAATTGGCAGCCAGCCGACTTACCTGAATATTACAAAGCCTTCCAAGTCAACTTGGATAAAATAGTTAATACTATACAAGTAGCGTGCAAGTGAGACACGCACAGACTTATTATAGTACAGTTATATGGCAGCATCCAAGTGGACTTAGTCAAGGTACACTTGGCCTCTGTCAACTTGCCTTAAGCGCTTAATATCGAGGTAGGTACGCAGTGTTTCATGTAAATTATCGTGAGATAACTTGCTGTATGGAATAAGCTGTGGTTATAGGTACTTAACGACAGTTTTCTTTTTTTTTTAATTTAAAGCACTAACTTTAATTTATTTCTAGATGGTATGGTGGACTGCTCTGACAGCGAATGTTGCTCTCATCCAAGCTGTTCAGATCACATCATGTGCATATCTAGTAACGATCCGGTAGAAGTTCTCTTAAGAAAACAGCCACCTTCAGTTACAGCTTCCTTCTATCAACGAGTAAAGTTTTTAATCGAAGAAAATTCCGTTCAGTCGTACGCTCATATGGACGAGTATACCGAGAGGTAAGTTTATTATGATTTAAGATTACCAATCTATAACTTCTATAGCTTAAATCTTTACGACAAACGCATAGCCCTTAATATTCGATTCTTTCTTTTAAATATACTACATTTTTTTTTTTATGAAATGCACAAAATAACAGTCATATTAAAAATGTTGGTTTAGATATATTATTTGATTTATATTATTTATATATTAAAATAGTTTACATTTTTTTATAAAAAATGTAGTTTATTTATGTCAGAATTAACAAAGTTAAAAGGGCAAAAAACACGCGTTATAATGCCGCTCACAGAAATTATTAAATTTTTTGACCAAAATATGTTGCAGTTTTATTGTTTAAATAACAGGTAGATGGGTTATGTAAAATGTGTATGCAAAAACAAATTATTTAATTTCTGTAAAACATAATGTTAATGCCGATGCTTTGAAAATAATAGTTTATTTCATAAAAATAACAGAGCTTGTTTTATAAAATTAAATACATTTATTGTTTAAACACGAATATATGGATTTTAACCCATATCTTTTTATTATTGTTGTTCTTATTAAATTAGTAACTATTTAATTAAGCCAAAAATAAGTTATATTACATAGGGTGTACCAATATTCCGTGGACTGCCACGTATTTTTGGTATGAAAATAAGAGCACTGAACGCAATTTACCTCTTTACAAAATTTCTTCGTTTGTCCATTAGAGAGCCTCAAACATTAAAAAATATACATATTATATAAGATCAAAGTCCAAAAGAGGTACGTGAAGGGTGAAAACTACCTCCACCCCTACATAAATTCTTGTAGAAATATTTTCCAACGCCAATGATTTTTTTTTGTAAAATGGTTCTTCTGGTATTTACTACATTTTTTATCTCATGCAAAAAAAACGAGAATTCCAGAATTTTTCCCCAAAGCGGACCTGCAAAATATACAGGCTGCCCCACCATTCCATGGACGTCGAACAACTACGTATTTTTGGAATCAAAATAATTGCACATAACCTCTATACGAAAGTGCTTTGTTTGTCCGTTAGAGGATATCAAAAATAATCCCAAACGTTAATTAATTCAAAATTTATGAAGCTTATTGTCAAAAATCATTTGTGATAATAACATAGCATTCCACATTTTTGCCAACTATATTATTATCGAATACTATATTTTATGCGTCACAAAAATCTTTTTTTAAGTCAGCTTCCGAAAAACATTTACTTTTGTCAAAATGTAGGCCCATATCACTTGGACACTCACTTGGACACTGTTTGGATCGTACCAACTGATTTTAAATCGGTTGATGCGATCCAAGGGGGGTTCCAAGTGAGTCGCGTATAGCGTCTAAGTATATTTGAAACAAGTACACTTTGACCGTGTAAATCAGTCTTTGGATCATCCAGAAATAATAAAAACATAAAATTATTTAGTGTTTTTCAGATTTTATTTATAACGATAGTTGCCAATTTAGTATTTGCTCAGCATATTTTACATAAACGAAATCCAAGAATAGAAAGAATAAAATTGCAACATATTTTCGGTCGGTCGTCGTCCAACTTCAGCTCTGCACGTTCGAGCGGAGATTTTGGGTGTGTGTTTTTCTCTCACCAGTACAACCGTGATCGCTACTCCTAGCTCGGGCATCGCACCCACCTTAGCGGAGCTCTGTTTAGGTCAGCCAAGGTGCACTTTTTAATTCCGCCTGTGTCCAGTCAGATTGAATTAACGCATATAGACCGAAAAAAAAGCGTGTTTTATTTACAAACTGGTTTTATTAATAAACCTTTAGACCAGTTTATTTAATTGGATTAGTTATTTATAAAACATGAACTTTTAACTTCCAATCTTATTTAAAAATAAGTCATAATAGTCATAACAAAACAGAATTAAATGTTTATAACAAAAATTATCAATACAGATAGGGGGATTTTCTAATTTAATTTAGTAAATCAAAGATATTCTTCTGAGATATGCTTGGATACGCCGATTAGTATTTTCTTCTCTTATATCGCAATATTTTTGATGTAAGGAAATTTTATACAGTGTGTCCCATTTTTGATATAAGGGTTTTCCATTAGAAGCGCTCGATTTTTGAAACGCAATAAAACAAATTGTGAGAATGATAGTGATCAATTTTTATTTTTATTATAAACTACATATGCTTTAGTCCTTGGTTTAATTGCACTTTATAAGGGTAAAGCCATAATCAATAATAAAATAAATAAAATAATAAAATCACATCCTTATTTGAGAAAAACAAAATATTTAGTCATGTCATTAAAATGAACTTTAAGTTAGAAAAGTGCGCCATATTTTCTATTAACAAAGGTGTGTTAATCCACATCAATGAACTCATTGCCAACATCCCTCATCTTGAAGATGGCCAAACTTATAAATATTTAGGCACCCAGCAAAGCAAAATAAAACACTAGTTCACCAAAATACTTTTACATTTACACTGGACGAGTTTTGCTAACTATGTTAGCATCATAAGCAGACATAAAAAATCTCAGTAGACATAAACAGGTATTCAAATTCTACATATTCAGTTGGCTCTAAAGTATAGACCTATTAATTATCCTGAGCAGCCCTATTACAAATACTCATATGCAGCAGTTCTAGAATCACCGGACACCGTATTATACTGCGACCGTCCAATAATTACAGACAGAACGGTGGAATATAATCGGCCAGAGAAAGTCTTAATCGATAAAGTCGATAAGATGGCGTTTATAATTGAAATTAATAGAGCAGGAAAAATCTGTTTCTCTGTTTTGGTATTTTTGAAAGACCGAAACCTTGCTTTCGAACTAAAACGCTTGGAATAATAAAACATGGAATCTAAATTCTCCAAAGATTGTGCCTGGAGTAATTTCTGTTGAAGGTGTTGCCACGAAAATATTAAAAACTAATTTAGAAGCGATATATTTTCTAAAAGGCCTCTGAATATTAATTCAAAACTTACTTACTGCCATTACTCGCTGACGAGTATTTGGCAAGGCGATTTCTTTCATGAGTTTTTCTGTGATTGAAAAGCCCGATACGTGATGTTATCTCTTTTCGCACTCCGGACATTCAAAAATCTCATTAATTTATTGCCTCTGTACTTTTTGATTGTCGTTGTTAACTGAGTTTACAATTCTCCTCCATTGCATTCTATTGTGCATTGCTTCCTCCCACTGATGATGCATACTTATCCCCTTTAAGTTTTTATGGAAAACATGCTTGTATCTTTTCAGTTCTCCACCTGGTTTCCTCTAACCCTCTACAAGTTCACCGTAAAGAAGAGATTTCGGTAGCCGGTTTTGTTGCATCCTGCATAAGTAGCCAGCCCATCTTAAGCGATATTTAGTAATCATGACTTCAGCGCTCTCGCAGCTTGCTTTTCCTAGGACTGATACGTTTGAGACTGGTGGTACCATTTGATTCTTAACAGTTGTCTAAGGTGTCCCTGTTGCAACATGTTTAATGCGTACGGCACCCAGGTTTCGCTTCCATATATCATGGTGGGAATTATTACTGCTCGATATACTGCAAGAGTCGTTTTTCTGCTCAAGTCATGATTGTAGAAAACCCTGTCTTTTAATTTCCAGAATGCTATCAAGGCGCTGCTAATTCTGTGCTGAATTTCAGAGTCGATATTTGCCTTTTCCGAAATCAAACTGCCGAGGTAATTAAATTTCGATACATATTCCAATAGTTAGTTTTATAGCGCTGTAATGATTTTCCGGGAGAGTGCACATGATTTTAGTTTTATCGATGTCCAGTTTCAGGCCCAAAGTATATGTGTTCAACATTTCCAGGCCCAAAGTATACAGGGTGAGTTTCCTACGATGTTCTCTATGGGTATCTCGGAAACTACGGGAGATAGAGAGTCGGTTAAATGGCGAAAGAATTGCAGTTTTTTGGGGTCATAAATATGCGCCTTTCAGATTCTTGAAAAAGTTCATGGCTTACTAGATATTTCCAAAAAAAACAAATTTCGGCTATTTTAAAAATTGTCCCTAATTCCATTATAAGCTATTGTAGACAAAAAGTTTTCAGATAGAAGTTGTAGATAATCACATCCTTAATGAGATTGTGTCCTCCGTTTTTTTTTCTAAAACCTGTCATTTTTGACATATGACACAAACATGTTTTTTTTAAATGGAAACCATAGTTGGCCATGACTTTATAAAAAGCGCCATTTTTTAAGCTTTTCAGCGATATAAGGTATAATATGTTTTCTTCGAAAAATTATCGAGTTATAGCCAATTCTTATCATTTTTAAATAATTTCACTTACTTAGCCATGGAAACAAGTTTACTCGTCTTTGCTCTCATAAGTGTGAAGCTGCCACATCCAAACTTTGTAAATTAAAATAAACAAAAATTGTAAATATGTACTTTCCAAATGATGAAAAGCGCGTAAGATTATTGGTTCAACTTTTCTTGACCATACATTTTCGAGGATACGTTGACTGGTGAATGTTATGTTTTTTAGAGGACGATTTTCAAGACTTGTTAGAAAAGTTAAATTTAGTTATAGCCAATTCTTATCTTTCTTGACTAATTTCACTTAGATTGCATGGCATTCTTATTCTGTTGTGATTTATAACTTATAATAAGTCAGAATATATTAGTAAACGGTTCTTTACAATTTACATTACACAAACTAAAACTTAAAAAAATAATATCACTTGAGTCACTGCATACACTTTAAGTTATTTTACAAAATGTTCAAAAAATCCGGCATTGTTTTCAGTTACATCTTTTTAAAACTGAATTATTACCTATTCTCACAGAAGGACCGGTCGACTTAATTAAACTTCTCTCGTACCGCCACTTCGAGTGCCTCTCTTAATTCATAAGTTCTTTTGTAAACCTTATTGTTAACCATACCGCATAAAAAAGTCTAAAATGGATAGGTCAGGTGATCGAGGAGGCCCATGCAATTAGTCCACCTCTTCCTATCCCTGAGTTTATATTATTATGATGTAAATAATTTTTAACATTTCTTTCATTATGGGGGGGGTG